ATGTCCGTAAACATTCTCAAGGCAATGAATATAAGAAACAATACAAGAACCGAGGTTTCTATGTGATGGCTGGTAAATACCACCCTTAAGAATATGACAACAGTATAGGGGAAACTGTATTTTCTACGCGTACCATACCAAGCAAATGCGTTCAACAATAGGATGTCTGTTGCCAGGCAACGAAGCTGTAAACGTGCATCCTTAACAAAATAAGATGGTGTTTTCTGTGGGGTCCCTGCAGAGGAGTTATCCTGAAGACAGTCAACATTAAAAGACAGTTCTCGGTAGGAGATAGCCACGGGAAGTTTGTAGATGAAGAATTAGCAGTCACTGTGAAGAGAAGATTTATATATCATATTTGGAGTGTGTAATTCAGTGACTGTTATAGTTCCTCTGTTTTGTGTTACCAGGGGATGAATGGTGTATGTGTGTGTGCAACAGTGAATTAAAAAGTACAAATAGCAGCAGCGCTATAATTACGTGTAATTACTAGTGGTGTGTATAAGGAGTAAATAAACCTGTTCATCCAATCCAGAACCTGTGTTATTAGTGACTCGAATGTGTGACACTACCATTTATTGAACTCTCTAATTTCTTTTCATTTATAACCGTTGTCATTAAGAAACAAGACCTCATTTTAAAAGTTACACAAGATAAAGACATGTTCCCCAAATTATATGCAGGTTAGTATTCTGATGTATCTGGTGGATTGGCATAAAAACTTCCGACTCACACAGCCAAGAAAGTTAAGACAAATAATCAAAACCCTGTCCTTTATTTCTTACTAGTGACAGTGAACCAAGAACAGATAAAGATGAAAATCCTGAATGAGAAGCTGGTGTTAATTCTGATGGTGCAAAACAAACAAAACAAATAATAAAACTTCTATATATGAGTTTTATTTTTCCTATCAAACACAACAATGTACCAAACAACTCACTCACATTTCACTGTGAGACATTGTATGACCAATAAACTCAGTTACGCACAGTGAAATGTGAGCAAGTTGTCTGGTATATAGTTGTGTTTGACAGAAAAAATAAAACTAATATATAGTACTAACACACAACAGTATGCATCCCTTAATGATAATACTTCTACTGGAACTGAATATACTTATAAATATTGCGACAATCGCAGCTTATATGCGGCGCGGCTGGTTTTTTAAATGTCGCCAATATATGTGGCATCACACACCCTCTAATTCTGACTTTGATTGAAGAACTTGTGTGTTTTCTACCGAAAACTGAATTACGTAGCATTGTACATGAAATGTAGCTGTAACTTTTGACATAAATACATGTACAGTCTTTGAAGCCAATATTTGAAAAAATGTCTATACAACCTGTCCAGAGGAAGTATATTCAGTCTGTGTTTAGAGTCGTGATTATTGTTCCTACACACATAGGTACTTTGATTAGCTTGGTGAAAACTGATACAGCACTTAGATAAGCACATAGCTTTGACTGCAGAATGAATGGGGCTGTGTTCTGAGCTAGTAAACAAATAAGAGCGTGTGCATATGCCAGTCCATAACATTTCTGCTTTCCATGAACAGTGCGTGGGTTGCAAGTGTTTGCAAATCCTCATCTTTCGTGTTGCTACGTGTAAGTTCTACACAGTAGGCATTCCTCTTTTGAAATAAATCCAGTGTAGCAGCAGTGTTCCTATCAGAAGCATGCAGTAAAATTGTCTGTGCCAGGTTTTAAAAATTTTTAAATCCCTGTACTGAAAGCACGGCATCTAGCAGCAAACATCTGAAAGAAGAGAGTGTTTTGGACATTCTGAACAAGTCAGATGAGTTTCTGAGTAGTGACACCAGTTTTCACGGTAATAATAGTGACAGTGAAAACTTTGAAGATGATATTGCAGATGTTGCCGGGGCTGTAGATGAAGAGGATAGCCAGGCGGAGGAGGAAAATGGCAGTGGCTTTATTTGGGAGGACATTGGAACATATCACAGGAAAGGGGAAATATTTTCTGGCTTTGGCAATGTGATATCAAGGGACAGGTTGGAACTAATAACGAAATTCTTACATTTTGCAGACAACACTAACATAGCAAATTATGAAGGCCCTCCAAAACTTGACAAAATATTTCCTGTTCTATCGAATCTGAACTACAAATTCCAGAACTTTTTTCTTCCCAGGCAGAACATTTCAGTCGACAAATCTCTTACATTATGGAAGGGTCACTTGTCTTTCGAGCAGTATTTACCGCTGAAAGCTGCTAAATTTGGCATAAAGACTTATGAGTTATGTGATTCCAATTCTGGATATCTGTGGTCTTTCCTGGTATACACTGGTAAAGATACACCTTTCCAATCATCCCTTGTAACACAGGAGACCAATAAAACAGTGGCCATTGTTCTGCATCTGTTGTAACCCTTACTCAAAAAAGGCCATACAGTTTGGCTGGATAATTTCTACATCTCCCCAGCTCTGGCTAGACTGCTGAAATACAAGGGCACTGATTGTGTTGGGACTCTAAAATTAAACAGAAAGGGTGTGCCCAAGGTAATCATGCAAAGATGCCAAACAGAAACAGGGAGAGATTATTGTCCAGCACTCTGGGCCAGTGACTGTTATGAACTGGCGCGATAAAAAGAATGTTTTAATGATTTCTACTTATCACAATGCTGAAATGAGAAGTGACTCGAAGAGAGGCAAAGAAAAATAGAGACCCCTGTGTGTAATTGATTATAATAAGTGGATGGAAGGCATGGACTTGAAAGACCAGCTGTTGCAAACTTACCTAGTAGAAAGAAAACGTTTGCACAAATGGTACATGAAAGTTTTCAGAAGACTTCTGAATGCGACAGTCATGAATGCCATGATAATATATAGACACAACACAGGAACAAAAATGGATCACCTCACATTCAGAGTCAGTTTGGTGCAGTCGCTTTTTGAACAGTTCGCCGATACGGAGCGGAAAGTGCGAAGTGGCCGGGCGGAACAAAAGTCATACCGAGGTTACATGAAAGACATTTCATTCAAAGGGTTGCTCTTTCTGGGAAGAAATGAATGCCACGGAGAGGTATGTGGACAGAGGAGCGACTTGAGGTTTCACTGTCAGGAATGTGATGTTGGGCTCTGTGTGGACAGATGTTTTGAAGCCTATCATACACAACTTAATTTCCAAGGTAATTCTGCATGATTAATTAAAAGTAGACTATTTAATAGAAAAGTTATGTTTTATACAGAGCACAGTGTTCATTTCCGGTTTTAAATTCTGTATTTCTAAATTTTTACGCCCTTTTTCAAAAAAATAATTGTGTTCTTCAGACAAAAACATTGAAATATCGCCGTGCTGTTTATAAAATCTAAAACTACATTCTTTTCTGAATATGACAATTTTTCGCTTTGAAATTCCAATTTTCTTTGCTTTTACAGCGAATTTATAAAAGTTGTGCATTTCTGGTAAGAGAATTTAAATATCCTCTGTCCACCCAGTAAGGTTTACTTTAAATGCCGTTCATTTCCTAAGTTTTAAGGTAAGTTAACAATATGACTGACAGTATTAGCATACTTAATTAAAAATTTAAAAGCCCAGCAGTGGCCATGTTTTCTTATTTTTGGTGTGTAAAATATCTTGTGTGGTTGGCTGCATGTTTGTCTGATGACTTTGCTTTCCGACGATGGCTAACGGTGGCTGACACATGTGAAGGCTTTTTAAATTAAGCTGTTGCACTTGATGGAACCTTGACACTTATTAATCCTGAGCATTACTGAAATAGTTAATGCAGTAACTGGTGATGACTCTATAGTACCACTTACAGAAGAGCCTAATCTTTTTTATTACAGTCAAAATTCACAGAAATGTCAAGTATCACCTAAAACATAACTGTGATAGCTCACCAATACGTGCCTAGGCTACATGCAAGGCAACCAGAGAATCTGTGTTCTATTCCAAGCACAGGCAGAGATATCTTTATTATTTCTTACTGAAAACCATCACAACACATCAATAACACTTGTGAGCAGCTCTAGAAGATACATTTGCTGTGTGTTTGGGCCTTCCATAAGGCCATCATCAGGCAAATACATTAAACCTTTCATTATTGAATTGCATGTTAAATATAATTCGCTTAGTGGAGGGGGTGGAGTCCAACTGGGTTCACTCAGCATGGCGGCCACTGATGGGCCTATGGTAACATGATCCAGGTGATTATGATACTGGAGAATTTGGTGGAATGAAGATTGGCAGGGGAAACTGAAGTACTTGGAAAAAACCCACCCCAGCGCCACTTTGTCCATCACAAATCCCACTTGATCAGACCTGGGATTGAACCCGGGCGACCACGGTGGGAAGTCAGTGACTAACCTCTTTAGCTATGGCGATGCCTCATGTTAAATATAAGTCACAATGCTAAACTTCCCAAGTATTAAATGCACACAACAACAGAACAACAGGGTTATGTGACTTGTTTCTAGGCAACAGCTTGGTAAACATGTCAAACACACAACAGTGGAAAATGTGTCAGTGGACGAATGTTATAGCTCATCGCTAGGCAGCAGTCAGTGCACCAGTGAACTCGCAGTCTGACACATGATGTGTTTTATGTGGGCATGGTCCATGCTGAGTAGTTATCTTGAAGACATTGGGCACTACAAGCCAAGAATTTCGACCAGTCATACAGCAAATTTGAGTGCAGTGCAGTTGAGAGTACAAGGATGAGAATGGAACATGTTTTTAGTGAATTATGAAGATAGTTGAATACTGATTACGACAGAGAAGTACAGAAGGATTGAAGGTGAAATAATGAAAAAACTTTCTTAGTGATTTGAAGTGCTAGCTTCTGTGCGTATGCACCTGTGAACTGGAAGTGTGTAGAATAGCAGTAATGTTATAATTTAGTGGGATTAAGAGAAATTGTAAGCAAGTTGCCAATAAATCCGATCATCCAATCTAGAACCCGTTATTTTCATCACACATACCCCCATACACATAACAATACTAATATTATTTCACACTTTTCTTTCTTCTGTTTTGTGTAGTTTTATGGACCACGCATAGGATGCCTCTATGCACGTGGAATAGGACAAGAAACACCAGTATATCCACTTCTACATGGAGGGGGGCAGGAGCGGGGATACCGTCCAGGAACAGAGAACACTCCAATGATAGCAGGACTTGGAGAAGCAGCAAGGCTGGTGTGTGAGAATCTGTCAACATACAGCAGGCATATGAAGATAATAAGAGACTATCTGGAAGAAGAGCTTAAGGTATGGCCTTAATAGGTCCATACTCATGTTTTAGTGAGTAAGGAAAGCATTATATACTCTGGTGACTTCTTTAGTGCTCAATTATTTTTAGAACTATTTATTGAATTATTACCCAAGGAATCATTTAAAACATTATATTCACTAACAGACATCACACGTGTTTCCTGAACACCATGGTGCCATAGGTGTTCAACAGGTAAGGTTCCCTAAGTCATGCAAATTAAATGAGTCATTAAAATATGACATGTACACTCAACTCTCGATTATCTGGGGGTGGATAAACTGGTTTGCAGCTTAACCGGGGCTTTTTTGAGTCTTGTATGTTGTTTAATATTCATTCACTTTTGTTTCACATGGTGAGTTGTAACACTATTTTCGCACTAGTGTGAACCGAGCTCTACATTTTTTGGTCCTGTTATGCTAACACAGTATTCTAGGGTTGGGGTGAAAGAATGCAAGGATGTGTGGAAAGTTTCAAGGACAGATACACTGTCCCAGTTAGTCTCTTTGTATCGATCTACAAGTGCATTAGCAAAATGTCAGGGTGTAAAAGGAAGCGTGTTGTGTTAAGTATTCAACAGAAACTTGAAATTATCAATCAGTTGGGAAAAGAGGTGTAGTTAAACAATTAGCAATGCAATACGGTATTGGAGAACAAACTGTTTGTGATTTGAAAAAACAAAACAATCAATTAATTTCCTTTGCTTCATCTTCTAATTCAAGTGGAATGAAGAAGAGAAAAACCATGAAAAAATCAACATATGATGATCTTGACAAAGCAGTGCTGATCTGGTTTAATCAACTAAGGGCACAGGGAACAACAATAACAGGAGCAGTTTGTGCTAAACAAGCAAATTTTTTTTCTGAATCACTTGAACTACAAGGAAGTGTTGACGCTTCTTCCGGTTGGCTAACACGTTTCAAGCAGCGTCATGGAATATGAGAAATTAGTATTCAAGGTGAAAAATTGTCAGGGGACTTATCAGTTCAATTTTGCACCAATTTTGATTGTTTCGTGAAAAGTGAAAATCTGCTGCCAGAACAAATCTATAATGCCGATAAAACGGGTCTTTATTGGAAATGCTTGCCAACCAGAACTTTGGCATTTCAAAATGAAAGACAGGCTTCAGGTCACAAATCCAGTAAGGAGAGATTGACAGCCTTGTGCTGTTCTAATGCATCAGGAACACACAAACTAACACCAGTAGTTCTCGGCAAAGCGAAAAGATTACGCTCTTTTAAAGGAACAGTAGCTTCAAGTGTGCCTGTCCGTTATTTTAATCAGAAATGAGCTTGGATGAATAGAGTGATATTTAAAGAATGGTTTGATTTTAAATTTGTGCCTCAAGTTTGTGACCATCTAAAATCCCAAGGCCTACCTGAGAAAGCTGTGCTCCTCATTGACAATGCGCCCTCACATCCTAACAAAAGTCTCCTGAGGTCAGATGATGGAAATATTTTCCTCCTAATGTTACTGCACTTATCTAACCAATGGATCAAGGAGTTATCTCAAGTATGAAGAGGATCTACAGATCAAATTTGCTACAAAAGTACATCGATGAAGGCAATGATCTGACGTGTTTCTGGAAGTCTTTTTCAATGTTAGATCAATGTTAGATGCCATATACGAGATTTCAACAGCGCGGGATACAGTAAAGCCATCTGTATTGAAAAATTCATGGAAGAAACTCATGCCTTTCATCACTAATTAAGATGACGAAATCCATGGATTCACTGGATTCAGTGAAAATGAAATAGCCATAGAATTGACAAAATTGGCTAACCAAGTTCATGGTGGTGAAGAAGTCAATGAGGAAAATATAAGAGAGTGGTTTGACTGTGACTCATGTGAGCCGGGCTTCGAAATGTTAAGCAGTGATGAAATCATAAGTTCAGGGGGGGTGCAGCCAGAAGAGCGGGAAGAAAGTGAGAATGAGGAAGAGGTGGACAGTGCTGCTAGTAAGAAAATATGCCATGGTGCTGCTCTTAATCCTTTGGAATCCTTACTAGACTATCTTGAGAGTGCAGAGAACAGTTTATTAAGTGACAAGCTAATATTACGTAGGCTTCATACAGATATCCATAAAAAGGAAAATGCCACAAAAAAGCAAACGACAATATTAAATTTGTTTCAAGTGTTAAATGTGAATATTCGTTAAAAGTGTTGGATGTTGTTGAACACTGTGATTGAAATAATTAATTCATACTTCAGTGTAATGCAAAAAAAAAAGTATTAAATAGACCATGAGATGACATAAAAATGAGGTTGAATAAATTTAAATCCAGATAGGCCTAGAAGAATGAAGACACTATACGAGGCCCTTGAACAAGCTCTCGAGTTAGAGGGCGCAAAGGAAACCATGTGGATTTCCAGTAGATTAAGAGAGGTGAGACACTGGACACTCTGGAGGGGTCGACCCCCTCCAAAACGAAAAAAAATGAAATAGTACACAGGAGGAGCTGGTAAATTAGAAACACCGGCATCCCAAGAGAGTGAATGAGCAAGAACGAAAATGAAGGATGAATGTGATACAGCTGGATCTTCTGGCAAGTTAGCAGGAAACTGCTTGAGACGAGCTGGTCTTAAGATGGGAGTGGCTTGTAACGGAAGGAGAATAATCGCTGCAAGAGGAGTAGCCGAAACAACAGGAGACACAGCAAGCACAGCAATGGGAAGAAAAAGGAACAGGGATGTACGGTTAGGCTGTTCGGGATGAACATCCTTTAGAAGGGAGCAGTGTGACGTGGATGGCGTAGCGGGAAGTGGGGGTGCCGTGAACTCTCTGATCGTGCGAGTGATGTCAGATACCCCCACTCCGTCCATCAGTGTGCAACGCTCAGTAGACACCCCCTTCCTCGCGGTGACGTGGCAGAGGAGCGGCGGCGCCAGGCAACCATTGCCACAGTGATGTAACACGGGATGCCGCGGTTGCTATGCAGCAGTAAACAACACCCGACAGCATTGCTAGGCTATCGGCAAACATGACGTTACGCAACAGTGGTGCCTATTACATAACTGTTTTCTGTGTTGTCCATAATGAGGCTAAGTAAGGAGCAGCGAAGACTATTCAAGTTAGTTAGTAGTTAGCAGTGAGTGACTGGTTAGTGAGTAGTGAGTATTGAGCCAGTTACTAATCAGTGAGTTACTAGAGAAAGAGTAACCAGTCAATAGCTGTCTATCTTTCGTCGGAATATTTATGATATATAATACTGCCGATGGCAGTAATTGTGAGCTTGTAATCTGTGTGGTTGCAAGAACGAGTGGAATAAATTCGCTATATCCAAATAAGGCATGAAGTTATTTGTCACACGTTATACACCCAACATTTGACAGTATTATGAAGGTACAGTATTACTTTTAATAAAATTTGTCTCAACCCTTCAGCATGGTTTGCCATACACTGTACGCTGTTATTTAAATGGTCCTACCTGCGGTTTGCCGTACACCGTACGCTAAGCTGTAAGCTTAATTTCAAAGGCCCATAAATATGGAACGAACCATGCCAGCATGATGACGATTGCACTGGGCTGTTGTGAAGAGAATACTCTCTCTGTTCGTGTAACCATAACATTGAAGATCCTGCAGCTCTGCCAGTCAGTCTAAATAGAACGCGTGACCTCACAGTTACGATGGCCGAGTGACTATGATATCAACATACCACAAAGATGATCTGCGTGTGGTTGTGAATAAAGCAAACAAACAAGAAACAAAGCCCTTGGTTGTTTGTGATTTAAACAGAAACATGCTAGGAGTGGATCTGACGGATCAAATGCTACAGCCGTACTTGCTTAAACGAAAGAAGGTACTAAGTGGTATCAATAGTTATTCAAGAAGCTACTCAATGTAGCAATACATAACGCAATGGTCATATATCGGTGTCTCCCGAATAACAAAAACATGGGCATGCTAAAGTTCAGACTTTCACTAGCGCAAGGCCTCATGGAAAATCACGGTTCTGGTTTTCCTCATCCTGTATACGACCATCCTTCAGTTGAGCCACCGCCTGAAAGACTCACAGAACGACATTTTCTGGAGCGTATTCCAACCAAAGGAAAAAAGCAAAGCCTCAAAAAAGATGTGTGGTGTGCGCAAAACATTGTAAAAGGAAAGAATTTATTTTTGATGTAGTGAGTGTGAGGCAGGGTTGTGTTTAGATGGATGTTTCAAGAAATAACATACGAAACTCAAATTCTAATCTACTTGCTTCCATCGCTCAGATACAGGGCGCTCATATTATAAGGTAAGTTTATAAAACCATCATTTAAGATGATTTCAGTGAAAAATTCATAATTATACCTCATATAGTTCAAAAGTTATGATACATAATGTAGTTTAGAGCAAAATTTAAATGGGCAATTAAAAAATACTACCGCAGGAGGCCCCACAACAGCGATATTTAAATGCCCACGCTGAAGGGTTAACCGGGTCTTCGATTAATCGTGATTTCCATCCCCACCATTGTCCCAGATAATCAAAAGTTGAGTGTAACTCATTTATCCCACTGGTATATCATTATTTTCAGCATAATTACTGAACACATTTGATGCATTTGATCCTGGCATGTGGTTAAAAATCCCATTGTGGTAGAAATTGGGCTGTTGCATTAGCAGCCATTAACCAACAGCTATTTCCACTTCAGTATCGCGAAATCGGCAGCCTCCCAATTATTGTGATTTGTTGCATGTTACCCCTACCCCTATCCTATCTAATGCTACCAACTTCCAAAAATCAAGATTCTTTATTAACACAAACGTTACAGGCTATAGAATCTTACTTATTGATCATCGCTTATACATGTAGCATGTTAATGAAGACAAATGGTAGATACAAATACTTATTTCTTTTTATTGCACCGTGATCAAAATATGGAGTAACATAGTTCATTCTGTTCCAGAAAGGTGGTAGAAGCTTATGGATAAGTTTATAGAAGTGTACAGTAAATACAGTCCATGCAGTAAGACTGCAAGTTTAGAATCTAGTCTACTTGACTGCACCAAGGGAGAAGCAGTCATGTGAAATGAAATGTACTAGGTCACTGCATGGAAGAGGTTAAACTGAGAAACATTAAAACAGGACTCCACTGTGTGTTCTCTTATTATATGTGCAGGAAGCTTTCGGAGAAGGTAATGTGATATTCAACTGCAGCAAGGATGTCAGGCGCCTTCCAAATACGTGCAGTGTCTCGCTGATAGGTGTAGAGCTGGTGGGTCATGTTGTATTGTCCAAATGTGCCCATATTATGGCTAGTATTGGAGCTGCATGTCATGCCCAAAACAAACCATCAGGTATTATAGCCACAGTTTTGAAATAGTTACTTTTAAGATGTATTAACTCTTTTCTTATGGCGTTACTTTCAGTGATATCACATGTACAGATTCAAACTTTCCTTTTCCACACAGTGGGCTGTGATGTATTCTAACTACCATCTTAGAATAAGATGGTGGTGGAAGTTATTCATTTTCAAGTCTGGCTTAACCTTTACCTATTCCCTTTCTGAAACTTCAGGTCTCTGTTAGTTTACAATATGAAGAAATATTTTAGATCACTTCAGAACATATAGCTTTTATTAAATTATATAACATATTGTGACACGGATGGCGTAACGGGAAGTGGGGGTCACGTGAACTCTGCGTTTCCTCGAGTGATGTCATGTACCCCCACTCCTATCATTATGCAACGCTCGGTAAACACCCCTCCCTGCAAGGCTGTGACGTCACGCAGCAGGCGACTCCTTGCAGCGGCTATTGCTAGGCAATGCGTAGGTAGAAACACCTAACAACAATACCTGATATCTGTTGCTGAGCAGCAAGGTGTTATCTATGTTGTCCGTGCTGAGCCTAAATAAGGAGCTGCAAACACTATTCGGTAATAGTGAGTAGTGAATTACTAGAGAGTGTAACCAGTCAGTTGCAATCTAGCAGTCGCCAAGTCGTTTTGTATCGAGTGAATGGAAATGACTACAGGAGAAGTATTTGTGATACTGCAAATGGCAGTAGTTGGGAAATTGTGAATTGTGTAATTGTAAGAGTGAATGCTCAAGAAATTCGCTATATCCATTACGGCGTGAAGTTACTTGTGTTATACACCTAACACGTGACAGTATTTTAATTGAATTTCAGCACTTCTTACAGCAATTTATCTCTTTAAAGCACAGGGATAACTGTATGTACCATTTGCTTGACTATTAAAGAAACCCCTCTTTTGCCTACGGAATGTATTTATGTGTTTTATATAATTCTCAAAAGGAATACCATATTACTTCCAATACAAGACACCCTCAAATTTAAGACACGTCCAGTTTTTTAATATGGGCTTTAGGAAAAAATTATAAAGGTGCATATTCCTAGAAGTTTAAGATGCACCTCATTTTTTCAACAGGGAAAAAGTGTAAAATGTGCATCTTATGTTCAAAGTAATAAGGCATCAATTATTTCCCTAAACAGCATTAACCAGTTGGTCTTTGTCATGGAGATGCAATATGTTTCCTCTTAGGTAAGGCCCTTCTCTTAAGGATTAAGAGACGGGCCATTTAAATTCCAGTAATGGCTGCGGGCTGGAGTTAATTGAAATGCCTGCCATTGTAGAGTAATAAAAATTGTAATCATGTTACTGAAAATGCTGTGATTTATGAAATTTTTGTGATAAACGAACGAAATAAACGCTGCTTTTATCTAGAAAGAATATAGAATCAGATATTGTAATTTACAGATTTTAAAATCTGTAAAAATTGTGACATTGTTTCCAAAAAAAATCCCCAATTTTGAGCGTCTGTCCACAAAAAAGCATAAAGCTTCTGCACAAAACGTTTCTGCAGTATAAATGCATGCTGCTGACATTCTCTCTTACTATGTCTTATCTGGTGAAAGGGGAGGAAGTTTGTTTGTACTGCACATTCTCCAGTCAAGTCGGCTTCCTGTATACATGAGTGTGGGCGAGTTCTTATCCTACTTTGTCCTTATGAAACTCTGCCTGTTTATACACATATGTCAGACTATCCACAGAGAGACACTGTTCTTGGAATATCCTCTCATTCCACTTGCTTCCATGTCCCTTCAGAATAAACTGTAAGCATTCTAAATGGTGTGATTTATGAGCGGCCTCTCAATTTCGGCTTCTTCCATGCGAAATGGGGCCATGGTGCATAGTTGAAATTGCGATGTTTTATAAGCGTTACGAATAGAGGAAGCCACTCACCATCACTGGCCTACTTCCTGCTAATACGAGACTAATGTTGCGTGTGTGTGCTTCGCGTGGAAAACAGAGTTACATACGGACAAAGTGCATGAATTGCGACGTCGGACTCTGCATTCAGTTACATGCAACATTCAGCTAGATGATGCAGGAAGGAAGACAGGCTACTTATAAAGCTGATGTCCAAAAATAATATAAGTAGAACAAGAATTTCTATCTTAAAATTAGATTTAAAAACACTGTGCGCACGCGTGGACTGCGAGTCACCATACGGTGTCCTTCGGCCACTCGGCTTTACTTTAAAGGTCCCCATACAGTGTCTTTCAGCTCATAAAGGTTAATACTGCAACAAGCAGCCTACATTTGATATAGGTCTTCTCATCCTCCCCACTCATAGCCTCTTTTGTGATGGGACAGACACACATATACAGAGGTTGTACAAAATAATGGAAACACTACAGATGCTATACACATTTCTTTATTAATATGGTGTTGGACCAATTTTTGCCTTCAGGAGAGCCACAGTCCTTCCTGGAGTGAACTTGTACAAATTTTGAACAGTCTGTAGCAGAATTTATACCATTGTTGAAATACATCTTCAAGCTGCTTTAGAGATGTTGGAGATGGGAATCTGTTCCTCACTGTAGTCTTGAAAACTGACCAGAATGGTTCAGTGCAGATCAAATCTAGTGATTTGGCTGGCCAGAGAAGATGTTGAAGTTCACCTTCATGCTCTTCAGTCCATGACTGAACAGTTTCAGCTCAGTGACAGAGTCATTGTCATTGTAGAAATCTCCATCATTGTTCAGAAATAATTCCTGGATCATGGGATGCTCCTGATTATCCAACCTGTGTATGTATTCCCTTTCAGTAATTTGGCCATGAAGGGCAATAAAGGGACCAGTAGAATACCATGCTCCTGCTGCCCAAACCATCACACAAACTCCAAATTATTGGGCATGACAGGACACCATTGTTTATGCATATGGGCATTACTTTTAGTAATCAGAAGTTTAGCAATTGCAGCAGTACTATGGATGTTTGGATTTGTTAAGCTCACCTCAAAACATTTTTTTGTGGAAATAGGGTTGTCAAGATGAATGTTCAGTTCTACCACAGTTCACCTGTGCTGCAGCAATTGTGTAATTTTTCAAAACAATCCTTCTCAGTGTTTTCACCCACTGTTCCTCTTTGCTGATGTTGTCTTCCCATGATCCTTGTATGCCCACATAACCTTAGAAACTGTCAATCTCAATGCACCTAATAATGTGGCAGTTTTTATCACAGATGCTCCAGGTAAACGCACACCAACGATCTGTCCTCTTTGAAAATCGGTGAAGTCTCCCATTTTCCGAGTCTTTCACACGGGCTGTCACTCAACACAGTCACTAGTGCACTTACATGAGCACTACTGAGTGTAAATAAATGGAAGAACATTCAGTGTTGCCAACAGATGAGTGAAATCTTTGGAAGTGCTTCAAGTGAGAGTGAAAGTCCTAGAGAAAAGTACTATTGAGTGCCTACTCTGGGAGATTTTTGTTTGCAGTCATTTTTATTTGCAGCGTCACTCCTAAAACCTACAACTCAACTTGTAGGAATTAAAAATTGGGATAGAAAAATATAAAACTCCCATCATCTATTATTTGTATTCTTTGAACCAAAAACTCTGTTGATGAAACAAATCTTATACTGAACTAATTTAACTCGTACTATTATCACTATTTTTATTAATTTCGTTATTATTATTATTGCACTGTGCTGTGTCTGTAATTGGCCTTGCGGCTGTTGACTCGGCACATTAATAATAAAGAATTGAATTGAATTATTATTATTATAATTAAATATTTCTGTTTCTTTTTCACTTCTTAATAACACTTAGTTTTATGATAATGAAATTATTATTATTATTGTTATTATTATCATTTATTTGCTTGTTTGTTTACTTTTCTTCATTATTGTGTTTTCCCAAGAAATTGCCTGTAATTTGTTTTTGACTTATAAAGTGTTTGTCTATAATGTACACGTAATTACTTTCATCTGCACTGTGCTAAGTCTGTAATTGGCCTTGCGGCTGTTGACTTGGCACATAAATAATAAAGAATTGAACTGAATTGAAATCACAGTGCCCCCCCATTCACATTGGAGAATTTTGCCCTTATGGAAATTATCAATCCTGGCTATAAAATTCCTGGTATGGACCATAAATTGTAATTTATATGCATTGAAGCACTTCCATATTTCTTTCCTGTCTGCAGTATGATGTATGGACATATAAACCTGATTTTGCCATTTGGTTGTTCACATTCTGGCTTTTCTCTCATTTTTGCCAGGATAGCAAGAAATGCATAAATATCTCTGACCTTCAGTCTTTTGAGTTACGTTGTGTTACCAGATGGGTTAGATATTAATGTGTTTGAAGTGCCAATTCATTCCTCTGAAATGTTTATAAACATCTAAAGAGTATACAGTGTCACATCCTTGAAGACTGTAATCTTCATAGTCATTGGTGGGAGAACCTCATATGTCACATTCTCGTGTGTTAATGGGTGCTGAAGAACTTATGTAATTGTAAGATTTGAGGCTTTCACGGCGGTGACTATGAAGAAAGCAGTCTTCTGGGATTTGGCACCGTGTATATGTGGTGCCAAATCCCAGAAGACTGCTTTCTTCACCTTACGTAATTGATGTATCATCATTAAATATCCAGTGAACCAATCAAGAAGATGTCTGCCTGTATGATATACCAACTATATTATATCCTTATTGACAGGAATCCTACTTGCATCTGGTATACCACATCATCAGGCTATTAATTCCATTCGTTTGAGTGTCGGAAGAGAGACAACAAAAGGTGACATAGACATTGCCATTGAAGACTTAAAACAGTCTGTAACAACATTGTTATACAAGAATTCATCCTAGGTAGGTAGTATTTTCATATTGTCACATGTTAGAATGACTCAACGGGGTTTGGATTGGATGTTTTGACCACTTACAGATCATAACTACAACCAACTATAACAGTCATGAAATTTGCACACGCCAAATATCACTGTAACTACAGCACTAGTCACTTCCTGGCAATGGATTCTAACAGTGGAGATTCTTCAGCTTCTGTGCTAAGCCCTCTCATCACAGAGTCCCTTACAATTCTCATAGTGCTTGAACTAAGTCCCAGGCCACCAGCCATTTCACACCAACCTCCTAGTCTTCTCTTCATAGCCTGATTGTAGTTCAGATGATGTCCTCTTTATATAACCCCTTTTCACATATGGAGTAGAAAACACTGTTTCCAACAGTTCCTCCTTTGTTATAGCTCAGCTGTTGCTTGTTAAGAATTTGCTGCCTACCAACGGCTGTTGCCTTGTTCATTTCACACTCACTACCTAGAAACAGGTCCATATGCCACAGTACCTTTCGCATCTGCAGGTTTTAGTGACCAACTGATTAACTCTGTGGAGCTGAGTCCTGCTGCTTATATACTCAGGAAGTTTCCATTATCATGAGTCAGATGAATTCAGTCCATGCCGATAGTGGGTGTTACTGATTTATGTAAATTGTGTTGTATATTTTACAAAGTAGAAGAAAAAGAGATTTGGTGTAGAAGTCAAATTTTGGTTTCTTTCACTGGGTTGTCTCATTGTCATGTTGTAAAAGGATGTTACAAAATTTGTACATTGTTTCTGGCGCATTTATCTGACGAAGATAACCTCAGATATGAGATGACCATTTTCATGCTAGAACATTTGAAGAAAAAGGTAATTCTGTTACTTGTCCCAATAAAGTTTTAGGTGCAGGTCAGTTGCGTAGAAATATTTTTTTTTTTTGCCATCTCTTCAGAACTGTTTAATTTAGGTCCACAGAATATTTAATACTAGCATATACTAATTGTCCATTGTGTTTGTTCTATCACCAATTATTTTTGCTGATATAGTACTGTATTTTGTGAATACTACACAGTTATTGGTCCCTACACTGTGCATGATAATATTAACCTTTAAGGTCCAAAGTGCACCAATCAGTACAGCAATGAGTATGGTCACTGTGGCTGAAGTACACCGATTTGTGAAGTTGGGCATTTAAACTCTGCTGGCAGAAGCACGTGCACACTCCACTAGTAGAAATGAACACCCAATCCTATATACAGGGTGGGGCGCAGAAACTTCCTTTTGGGAAGACTCATTGTGAAGGGAGGGGAGGTCGCAGAAAAGTGGGGATAGGCTCGGCGAATGCAGCAGTCGCGGAAGTTTCTGTGTAATACCCCTCAGTAGGAAACATGAGATGGACGAGTGAGCAGCGTGTGTTTGCTGTCGAAGCCTATTTTTCAAACAACCATTCCTACTTGGCAGTGCAGCGTGCATTCCATACTCACTTCGGCATTAAGCCCAAAAGTTCGGTTCCCGACCAGAAATCGATTTTTTTGTGGGTAGAGAACTTTAGGACAACCGGGAGTGTGGTGAAAAAATCATCAGGACGACAACGGACCGTTACGATGCCAGAAAATGTGGAGGCGGTTCAACAGTCAATTTTGAGATCTTCAAGACGCTCCGCTCGCAAACATGCAGTCGCCCTAGACATATCCAATCATTCAATGCGCCAAATTCTTCACGAACATCTTCATTTCCATCCCTATAAGATTATTGTTGTGCAGTTGTCACCACGTGATTTCCAGAACCGAAAACGGCGGACGAAACGTTATTGGAAACTTTACCCCTGATGCACTTGTTTTCTTTAGTGATGAGGCACATTTTCAGCTATCCGGATATGTCGACAAGCAGAATATGCGCTATTGGAATGGTAACAATCCCAGAGAGCTCCCTGAGGGGCCACTTCACAGTGATAAGGTGACAGTATGGTGTGCATTGTTGAGAGTTGGAGTTATTGGTCCTTATTTTTTTTAAGAAGACAATCATGCAGTTACTGTCAATTCACAGCGGTATGTGGACATGATTAAAAACTTTTTCGAACCAGCTCTTGAAGAAATGCATCTAGGAAATGTCTGGTTCCAACAGGATGGTGCCATTGCCCACACAGCCCGAGCTTCGATGACAGTCTTGAGGGCAAAGTTCCCCAGACGGCTCATCTCGCTTCGATGTGACATCCCGTGGGCAGCACACCCACCTGATCTAACGCCCTGTAATTTTTTTTATGGGGATACCTCAAGGCAGAGGTTTTTAAACATCGCCCCGCAAACCTGCTTCAGGTGAAAAATGTTATTCGCCAGTAAGTAGCCCAAATTCCAGTGCACATGTTGGAACATGCAGAAGGGAACTTCAGAAAACGGTTGCATCAGTGCATAGAGAATGGTGGCCACCACCTTCAAGATATTTTGTTTAAAACTACATGATTTAAAACTTTAAAGTATGTTCTTTCATTAGCTAAACATAAATATAAATTATTATCAGCAATAATTTTTCTTTTATTCGCCTTCAAAAAAAGTAAGTTTTCCCTCCCTACTCTGTATTTAGTTTTAAATAGAGTAAAATTCAATGTGCATACCTTTTTTTTTTGTAGTTATCTGCTTGATGTATATACAAGGTTCACCTCCCTCGTCAGGTAACTAAATCTCATCTTTCTATGGTACTTTTTGAAGCACTCAAAAATGCATAGTCCCACATCACATATCTTGCACTTCAGTTTCCCTTCAATTTAATCATCTTCCAGACAATAATGTATCATTGCCATTTTATGTACGATGATATGAAACTACAATTTTTGAATTCACAGTGAGCTCACAGAAAGCTGATTGCACCCTATATCTAAGCTACAGTGCATGTGTTTGTTTATGACTTTAGAAAGGGTAATATTCTATCTCATATGCAAAGGAGGGCTTGGCTCTGAAGAAGGGAACAAAGTCACTGTAACCTTCCTTAAGCTGCAATACTTTCTCTTCTTTGTCCTTTAGTCAAAAGACTTCAATATCTGAAGAATGAAACAAAGATGTGAGACTTGCCAGCAGAGAACGAAATGATTTTATTGCTTCCAGCTAGTTTATGGCACCAGAGAATGCGAAAATATTTCAAATGCTAGAAGCCAGAGTAATTTTATGATGAGAACTACTCTATTTACAAGCAGGGAACAATTTTTACAGTATACATCAAAATTACAAGAAAAAATTAAAAATAGAGTATAACTTCTTTGTCTTAGTATTTTCAAACCTTACATTATGCTGTGCGGCTCTATGTTCTTTGCTGATAAAACAAAATTAATTCCATTCATTTATCATAAAAATTGTATTACATACAAACAAAATAAAAGCCACGGAGGCTTTAGTCCGCAAGCAAACTATACCGACTGAGCAACCGCCGCCTGTCGACGAAGTTAGTGCCTACTTTTGCGGATAGTGTGTGTTGCAGTGGTCAGCACAACAAATCTCCACAACCGTTAATTTCGGTTAATTTCAAACTGCCATCTTACAAGTCCAGGACAAAAAAATCTCAAAACCATATCTGTGAAAACAGATGGTGTACTAATAGGAGTAGACTATTAATTCCCCCACAGCACACAGTTTTTACCCCAGTGAAACAGCAACAAAGAATAAATTTAAAACTGACAGTCAGCCTGAGAGGTAGTGTTAGACAAATATAATAATATAACCCTGGTGAATCCACTGGAGGTGAGTGAAATAAGGCCAAGACAGGGATTTAGGATAACATGCCAAACACAACTTAGAACAACCAACACTCACCTTGCAGTTACCAAACTGCCAGTGGCCTGTCCAGCGACCCCTAAGGACTACTACAGTGAGAGCAGTTACCAGCTCCTAAGGCCAAGTTATGAATGCCTGATCAATGGACACAGTTCAACTGGCTGGCAGAAAGGAGAAGATAGATAGGAGATTAATGGACAGTAAGAGAGAGGGAAAAGCAGTAGTTGTACAGGAAGGCTGCTGCAGCCTGTTTTGAAAAATAACATGCACTGACCCAGGCAAAGCTTGGTTCAGCTGTTACCAAATGTTTCACCTATGCTACAGTTTCAAAGGATTTATTAGCTGTCCTTATATTAAGTTTTCTTCTACTTTTTGTTGACAGACCACGAATGTGCTTGTATACCTGTATGTAGCTTTCTCTGTTCTAGACCAACATCCTTATATGTGTGTAATTGAGTGTCATTGTTTTTTCAAAGGCAAAAATAATACCGTCTAATGTGACTATTTAAGTTTTATCACTTGAGGATTTATCTCCCGTATATGTTTCGATCCTTATGGATCGTCCTCAGAGGGTATCAGTACTTTCGGAAACTACTATTACAATAGATGTTAATTGTATGGATACACATATGATGTCTAAAATGCACAATATGTGCAATGTTGAACCTTCCACATTCACAACAGCCTTCTTGGTGTTAAAACTTTTTAAAAAAGTTTGTTTTAAAAAACTTTCAAGATCAAGCTTAAAATTTATGAACCATGCAGGCTTGCATCAATTCTCCTATTGTTATTCGTAGAGGTGCCTGGTCCTGTGCCACCTGTTTATCTTGCGAAAGGAGATCCTGCAAATGTATGTATATATACATATATATATTTTTAAGGATTTTTTCCTACCTTAGTATTTCCGTGATTAGGTGGGTCCCTGTCACCACGGCTTGGCGGGTCCTCAGGTTGGGGATGGAGGAGATGCCCTCCAGTTTTGGAGGGAAGCTGCAAATATATTGAATAAGCAGTTGTGGACAGCCAACAAGGGGTGGCCCTCCAGCTTGGTGGTTGGGTGTGGGGCTTACAACTCCTCACTAAAAAATCAGTATACTACGAAAATGAACACAAAGTCTCGGACCTGGACTGATTCCTTGGATAAACGACCTAAGCTAATGAAAATGGATATTCTTGTTTTTTGGAGAGATACCCACATTATATTTGCTTCCTTTATTTAGTAAATTTTCTTCTTTTCAGTGAGTTGTATGTTAATCATATTGTGCAAACGTGG